TGTCTGTCACCATGCAAATTAATTGACTCATGTACAAGCCAAAGGGATATGAAGAAGCACAGGAAAAATATTTTAGATGGTTATGTATAATTTCATATTTCTAATCAATTTAAAGAATATTTTAATAAAAACCTCCAGCATAAGTTGGGTTGAGTATAGTAAACATTTTGTTGATTTTATAACGTGATAAATGAGTGTGCCCTTGAAATTAGCTACTATAGATTCAAAAAAAAATCAAAATAAGTTATTCTTGATGCACAGAAGTCTACTTTAGTATGTACAGGTTTGCACATAGCCATAAACTAATATGAATCAGGCATCTACAAGATAATATGAATGTGTGTGCACGAGAGTGTATATGTGTGTGCAGTAGCCCCTCGCTATTTCACAGCTCAACTTTGACGGACATGCTGTTTCGCAGGTTTTCGCAGGTTTTAATCTAGGGCCGAGGAGATGGCTCAGTACAATAAGCACTTCCCTGCCAAGCGGAAGGGCCTGAGTTCAATCCCCGGTTCCGCCAAAAAAATAAATAAATAAATAAATAAAAAATAATCTAAATTATTTATCGCACATTCCTTTCTGTCTCACGAGATTTTGCGGTACTGCACAGCACACGTGTGATATTCAAGTTACGTAGGTTTAAGACTTTAGAAAATGGTTAAAAATATTCAAAATGTTTTTAAAAGTGTGGGAAAGGTTTATAACAGCATGGGAAGGGCTTATAAATCCTGAAAATATATATAAATATTAAAATAACATAACTCACTACTTCACTGATTTTATTATCACGGGGGTGTCGGAAGGTAGGCTCCAAGATAAGGGAGAGACCACTGGAGGTACAAATATAGCTCCATGCTAACACACCCAGCAGTATTATTTCAAATTTTTATTTTTGTTGTTCTTTTTCATTAGTGCATGTGTGCAGTGTATAATGATTACATTCATCCCGAGGAGCTGATCGTGTACACAAAATACACTGATACCTTTTTAATCCCCCACTCCCCTCCCAACCCCTGTATCACCTGCTCCTCTTCCCTTGTGCAAGAGATTTGTCTCCCTGTTTCATACCATCCATTTCTTATTTTGCTCTTTATTTTATTTATATTTTGGGCTTCTCATATGAGACATCATGTGAGAGTTAAGCTTGGGTGTCTAATTTATTTCAAAATGCGAAACACTAAATTTCCATGTAGGGTGGATCCTCCCTCTCTGCAGGTTCCACATTAGCAGATTTAATCAACTGCAGATTGAAAATATTCCCCAAAGATTGTGCTACTTTTTTTAATTTTTCTTTTCTTTTTTTTTGAACTGGGGATTGAACTCAGGACTTCATGCTTTCCAGGCAGGCACTTATGCCACTGAGCTGTGTCTGTGGCTCGCTCTTTCTTTCTTTCTTTCTTTCTTTCTTTCTTTCTTTCTCTTAATGTATTTAGTACAGGGTCTACAGGGTCTCACTACACAGATCAGACTCATAGCAATCCTCCTGTTTTCAGCCTCCCAAGCACTGGGATTACAGGTATGAATCACCATGCCCAGTCCCAATTGCCATCTCAGCGTGCCCTGGGGGCAGGGCCAGGATGGCTTGAGGTGCCAGGGATCGAACCTCAGTCCCTACCCTCTACCTAAATAGAAACTTTAGTCTACTGAGCTATCTGACTGTTCTTGAGACATAATTTCTAAGGTTACATTTACAACAGATTTAGAAATAGTATGTAATAGGTAACAAATCAGGTGGATGAAAACTAAAGGAATTTTATTGTCATGTTTTATAAAAGTAATATTGCATCTTGAACTTTGGAAAAGAGCTTTTTTCCAATGCCAATCATGTAGCCTTCCTATTTAATCACTTTTTTAACACATACTACATCTGAATAAATTAATAACCTTAATGGAACAGCCAACACTTAACATTGAATTAATTAAATGGCATACCCACCCAGCAACCGAAGCAACATGAACTGCGTCCCCAATGCTAGAGACCGCTGCCTCTGATCAACACACCTGGAAATATTACATATTTATAAATGAGACAAGGAAGTTGTATATTCATTCTTTGAGCAAGTTCATATCTTTATCAGTTTAATATTTATGTACCAAACTAAATTTTGTGTGTAAAATTGACTGTAAATTATTTATATGAACTTAAAATTAGTTTAATCATTCTGGGTTTATAAAAGAAGAAGAATGCTAGCAAAGCTAAAATACTACAAATAACAAGAGTCACTAACCCTAATGGATTTCAACAAAGATAAAGGAGAAAGGTCATTCACTGACAAGAATGAACAAGAAAGTTCTATTCATAAAACCTGTCAGTAAACTAGACCTAGAGCTGATAAACTTCAGCATCCTGCTAGTGCAAGTTATCATACTGTTTTAGGATCACAACGCTCACAACTTTGATTCAAGACACTACCCAAATTCCTGGCCTAAGCAATTTGCTAAGAAAAAAATAAGTAAAAGTCATCTAAATTGGAAAGGAGGAAATAAAATAGCCTTCATTTCCTGGTGACATGAACTTTCATATAGAAATCCCTAAACAGGCCATGGAGAGAGCTCAGCGGTGTGAGCACCTGCCTAGGCAAGCACAAGGACCCAGAGCCAAGCCCCAGTACCACATAGCTTGCCGGTCGCACCCTGGGCGTGCTGAGCTGGCCACTGAAACCCAGTGTGGTGGCACATGCCTGTGATACCAGCCCTGGGGAGGCTGAAACAAGAGAATCACTATGAGTCTGAGTTGTGTAGTGAGATCCTGTGAAGCCTGTGCTAAATACATTTAAAAAAACAACAAAAATTAAGTTGCATTTCTATATATTAAGAGTAATATATCAAAAAAGCAACAAAGAAAACAATTCCATTTGTAATAGCATCAAAAGATATGATAAAATGCTTAGAAATCAACCTAACTTAGAAAGAGAAATTCTTGCAATGTAAAAAAATTAAGCATTAATGGAAAAAACAGAAGACACAAATAAGTGGAATGACATCTTATTTTCTTGTACTGGAAGAATTGGCATGGTTAAAATCCCATACTACCCAAAGCAACCTACAAGTTTAATAACTTCTAGATCAAAATGCTACTAGTGTCTACCACAGAAATAGAAAATTCAATCCTAAAATTCATATACAACTACAAAAGTCCTAAAACGACTCAACCGTGAGCAAGAAGCACAAAGACGCGGGCACCACACTACCATATTTTAAAACATAGCACAAAGCTATGAGTATCAGAAGAATATGGGTCTGATATAAAAACATACGTATAACCAACAGAGCAGAGAGCTAAAAAAAAGTCTATATGTTTACACTCAATTGATTTGTGTGTGTGTGTGTGTGTGTGTGTGTGTGTGTGTAACTAGAGATCGAACTCAGCCCTTGCACTTGCCAGGCAAGCACTTATCTACTGAGCTGTCTCCCAAGCCCCTTCAATTGATTTTTGACAAAAGTACTAAGAACACATGGTAGAAAAGAAAGAATGGATATTTACATGCAAAAGAATGGAGCTGGCAGACCCAGTCCTAGCCCAGGTCCGGTGAGTGTGCGGAGAGTTTCCTGCTACCCCGCGCCGGCGGGACCAGTCCCAGCCCAGGCACAGCGTGGGCCGGACCCTCTCCCAGCCCCTCGGGCCGCCCCCCACCACTCTGCAGTGCCTCCCCCACCCCGCCTGCCAAGTAGGATTTTC